GCAGAAGCAAGAAGAAACTGCAACCCACCCACCCCACCCTCCAATTAGTAGGAAGTAAATGCAAAGCTCAGTAAATGGGGAAAGTGGGGATATATACAAGGGCTACAATGTCAAAGGGGAGGCAACCACACACAGAAAACCAAAGCCAGAGGTGCAGTCTCACAGAAGGGAGACACATGCATCAGTAGTCACAAGGCAGCACGCCGAGGAGGAAGCAATAGATTCAGGGCAGCACCAGGAAAGAGCAACTTAAGGAAAGAAAACAAAACAAAACACCAAGTCTACCTAAGGAACTGTGGCTGGTTGAGAACCACCTTCACATTTGCCCCCTTGCACTTATCCATTCCAGAATGTAAATCCACTACCATCATTTGTCAAATGATAGAATCATCGTGGATCCTTGTCTCTTCTTGTATGTCTTGGAGCTCATTTACTCATGCAGCACAATCATGACTGAGAGCTTCTTCTAGAAGGTACCAAATCAAATTACTGGTGGCATGTCTCAGGTTCCAATGCTCCTCCAAGCTCCCTTTACATCAATGGAACGTTACCCTAGAACCTTTCCCGGTGTCATGCTGGGAGTAATATTTTTTTTTTTGCACAGAGGGAGATTTGTTCATTCGTATGAACACTGGATCCCCCACCTGTAGTTTAAAATGGTGCAGTCCAGCAGTAGTGTCTCAGATTAGGCTTCCGTGGGTGGATTAGTTGCAGATATTGTCCAAGAGAGGGAACCATGCTGGAAGTATGGGTGGGCTTCTATACTCCTACCAGTCAGAACTAGCATTGCATATGGATGCATCCCCAGCACCTCACCTGAGGTTTGCATCAAAAGCTATAATCTGAAGGGGGAGGAACCCCCAAATTATAAATGATGTGCCAGGGACCAACTCCACATTCCCAACAGTTCAGAACTGCAGATACAATGCAAAACCAAAAAGGTCCCCATATTTCTAGACTTTAAGGCAAAAGAATCTAAATAGGGTTGGCAAGGTTCCTTTCACTCTGATAGATGAGGCCCCATGTTTCTGCAGTCTGTGTCAGCACTCTCCATAACTTGGTTTTTATCTTTGGCTATTGTAGAACATCCCTGCCCTTCACATCATCTAACTCCAGTTTCTGCCTTTTTCTGCTATTCACATTCTTTGCAAAAGATGCTACATTGGTTTTGTGCTACTTCTGATGAAATCTGTGCTAATATAAATTAATATGTAATATATATTTGTGCCAATATAAATTAAGTCATTAAAGCTAACCTGGGACTTTATATTTTGTAGTAGTTTAATTTGGTTTTTCTATCATTTTGCTATCTTTTATTCGGGAAGCATAATTTATTTTAGTATGAGCTGACTTGCATAATGTGCTTAATTTATTCTGTGGTTAGAATATGGAGATCTGAAGCCAAAGTACATTGACACACAGCCGTGATCCAAAAGCATGTAGATAAGGGAAGGATTTAAAAGCATGCTTGGGTGTTTTCTCCAGATGCACTGTTCTTAGCTCAAAAATATATGTATTTTGGCTTAATACTAATAATATTAATACCAAGTCAAAATGCTATTCATCTTGCTAATCCTCAGGGTGAATTATCTGATCAATTAATTATCTGATCAATTAATCACATGCTACAAGGTTCTCTGTTGTGCAATAGCCAATACTTTTTTCCTGCTCTTTATTCACTTTGTTGTCCTTTTCTTTTGGAAACAAAACACATTGGTTGCTGTTTGGGTGGGAGATACAGAGTATTAACGATTAAAACCACTTGGGTTCACTTCTAATTTAGAAGTATCTCTTGTGAATATCTTTCCCCACCACTTTTAATTCCTTGAGAGAACTGGCTGTTACTGTACATTACTGTAATGCTCTTGTCCTTCCCTCCCCAGTTTAAATAATATCACTGGAATATTTGGGAACAGGAATTATAATAGAATAACTAATCTTGGCTTTTTGCTATTTATGCAAAGGTAACAGCTACATTTAAGAAAGTTATTGATCATGTTTAAGGGAGAAAAACAACCTTGCCTGTGAATTTGTATAATTTTGTTCCCTGGTGGTGATAAGACATGCAGAAAGAGATTTTATGGAATCTCTTCTCTGTTTTATTCTAATTTACATGTCTGCTAGTCTGGTTGCTTTAACTGTTATTTAAAAAAGCCCACATACAATGCCGTATAATATATAAATATAAGCAATAAAATCCTTTGAGACTTTGTGGGAAGAAGGACCAGTTAGCTAAACCAATAAATACACAATCCATTCATTTGCATTCCATTTGCTTTCTTTCTATTCACATACTCAGGAGTTGAACAAGAGGTGGGTAGAGCTTCCATCTGTTGCTAAGCTGTTCCATTTAACACGGAGAAGAGAGGGAAAGTGCCCTCTAAACATGAACACTTCTGCCCTCAAATTCTTCTCCCCAAACACTTGCGTAAATTCAGCCAAGTATTTATAACCAAGGAATTCATTTTCTTAATTTCTGGTTATAAATCAACTTTTGGTTTATTGCAGGAGTACAGAGTCTATAACTCCCCAGGTATGGTTGGATTCCAGCTGCAATCAGCCACAAGGAACCTTATTGGTCCTGTAGGCCAGGGATAAGCAGTCCTTATAAAAGGAGAACCAAATATGGTACTGTATGGTTGGCTGGAGACCCAATACAGACACAACTCTTAAAGGCCTTCCCCTCCCATCCATCTCAGTACAGCTGCCACTGATAGGAAAATGGAAGCCTCTTCCTCCCTGTCCCCATTTGCTTGCCTATTGTCTCTCAATTGCAATTGCTCCTGATTTTCTTCAAAATCTACAGAGTCCCTTTAGGGCAAATGTCAGAGTACCATTACCTTCTGTAGTGAGGAGATCTGATGGTCACTGGGCAGTGTGAAAACAGCTGACTTCCTTGCAAGGCCTAGGAACCATAAAGCTCATTCAGCATAGACACAGGGAGGACCTACATATATCTGGTGGGTTTTGCAGATAGAAATATTTTGAAGAATCTGGTAGCCAGTAGTAAATTGGCAGGCAAACAAGAAGCCAAAGTGATTGTGGATATCTGTAGAAGATCGCACCAAATGCCCTGCGCAACTACCACTTTATGGTGGTGAGTAGCCCATCCTGCTACAGTTTAATATCACCTGGTTCCCATCCCTGAGGATGCAACTCCTGATGCAAGTTGGCTCTGACTGTCCTGCCTTGGAAAGGGCCCCTGGAAGACAACAGTTTTTTTACAGCCACCAACCACATGATGGAATTGTGCTAGGATAATTCATTCATCTTAACAAACACTCTATGGAAGCAAGAAGAGAGGGAAGGAACCAGCCTGAATCCTACTGAAACGAGAGAGGGGAAAACAAGGGGACATGATAGTCATGATGGAGACAAGAAGCTTATTCAAAAGTAAAGGGGTCATGGGTGCTAAAAAAGAAGTGCCCATCAACATGCGTATCAACGGTTTCCTTGTCACTCTCGGGTGGGAAGCGCTCGTGGCAGATGGGACACTCCTTCCAAAAGCCTGGTGAGGGCAGGTCCAAGGGAGATGCACCCATTCCAGATGGTTCTGACATCTGCCGCCCTGTCAGCCCACTGAGCATGGAGGAAAAAAATGGGGAAAGAGAGAGAGAGAGGGAAAAAATTAAAAAAGAGACAGCTCAAAATTTGAAATTTGATAAATTGATCATCTGAAATGGTGCTAAACATTCTCCCATAGGATTCACTGTGCAAAATTAGGGTAGAGTGAAGAATTGCTCAGGCAGACAAGGTCCAAGATGCCTAGAGTCACAGAATTAAGGTCAGTGAGATTTGACCTCCAGTACAGGCCAGGAGAGATCACGAATGAAGACAGGGGAAAGGCTTCATCCTACAAGACACACAGGCCCCTTAAGCTAAACAAGTCCTTCACTAAGCATACAGCTAATACATGGAACAATCAGACTGACTGGTTCAGGAAGGGCAGAGAAGAAAAGCAGTGGAGGGAGAAAGAGACACCCGGAAGTGTCAGGCTTAGGGTTGCAGAAATGATGGGAAGGAAGAGAATACTGAGACATGATGAATTGCAGGAGAGAAAACAGGCAGCGGAAAAAAGGGCTTACATACTAAAGAGGAATCAGCTTTTGTTCTGAAATAATTTGAGAAACGTTGACCTCAGGCTTCTACAGCTAAGGCTGTGCATATTCTCTGTGTCATTATATATACAGACAATCCAGACTGGCACTATGGACAGCTGGAAGCTGAAACCCTAGTTAAACTGGGTACATTTGCATGCATGTCTCGTTTTGTATAATCCCTTGGCATTTTCTTTCTTTCTTATATATATGACTTATCTGGCTTTCTAAGATTTATAGAGTGGCTAGGGAGGACTGCAGGCTACGGAGTGACTGGAGCCTTACTTGGCCAGCCCCCTGGGTTCTGAGCTTTTGACAGGTACCACCTACAAAACTTTCAGATGTTGTTGATGAAGCTTTCTTGTCTCCCCGCCCCCACGCATGAAGAATGACAAGATTCTTAGAGAAATAATTGCAGTTTCCATGTTTTCAGCTTGTCCTATTTTCTTTTCTTTTCTTGTTTAATGTTTAGCAAGTTCAGCATATTCCCAGAAGACAGGTGCCAGGAATGATTGGAGGTGTAACCCAACACATCTGGGAGAGGACTAGGTTGAGGACAGCAGCCTTCCAACCTTCCCATCTCTGAAGAGGACATGTAGTACAAATGGAATAACCTCTCCTCACCTGGCCACTTCGCAGAAGCCACTGCCCAGCTCCGGAAGGAGTAGATTGGTTTCTTCACCACCACTCTGGGCAGCTGCCATCAGAACTGCCTTCTCATCCTCTGCTTCCTACAAACACAGAGAGAGAGACATTTTCAGCACATTTGACTTTTGCTCTTCCTAATGAGCAACTGGCCTTTTCTTCCTATGCTGGAGGACTAACAACTCCCATGCCTCAAGTTATCTACAATATATGCCTGCATATAGAATCTTATATGTCCTGAAAGGAAGATTCACTCACTCTTGAGTGAGATGGGTGGTGACTAAATTTATTTAATATATCTCTCATATTTAGTCACCACCCATCTCACTCAAGAGTGAGTGAATCTTCCTTTCAGGACACCTGTTTTGCACAGAAAAGATCTAGGTTCAGTCCCTCCAACTAAAAGAATCATGGGAGTCAGATGAAGGAAAGAGTTCTTGCCTAAAACTCTTGAGAGCTGTAGCTAATCAGGATAAACAGTATCAGAAGATGGTAGGGACCCAAGTCAGTAGGCACTTGTCTTGGTGCCAATTGTATTTCTTGTCCCTTCCTGATATGATTATCTGTTATTATTATTTCTCTGAATTAACAAAATGGGAAGCTGGTATCATGGAATGCAAGCACACCAGCCTTTAGTGTGTGTGTGTGCGCATGCAAACCTTATTTCCAGGAATGCCCCTGGATCAGACAGACACTGAGAAAATAAAAATGATGCGTAGCTGCAGCCCTATGTCTTCCTGTTCAAAAGAAGATAAAAACTAAGCAAGCATGATAGGAAGCATTCTTTAGGAGAGGCTAGTGGGTTGACGGGAAGCATTTTCATCAGGTTGTCTTCTGAGTGGCTGTGCCCACAACAGCAAACATTTTGTAAAAGTGCAAAGCCTCCTCCAAGGAGTCCATTGCATGAAGGCACTCACAGTATGCTTTCAAAACCCCAAACCAGCTGCCCTGTCCCTGGGCTAGATGGTCTCTTTGTCTGGATCCCCAAAGCAACTCTTTCACCCTTCGCCTTGGACATCTACTCATGGGCTGGAATCCGTCCTTCCCTGCTTCTCAGGGCCTCACCGAGTCAGAACTGGAATCCTCGGGTGGCTGTTTGATCTGACTGGCAATAGGGGCAGGCTGGCTAATCACCACTGTGTGAGATGGACCATGGGCACAGGGTGGCGTGGTGGTCACTGCCCGGGTGTCACACAGGCTGTAAGAACTGAGCTGTGCAGGCAGGCGCATGTCCTCAGGGCTTTCGTCCTCAGAGCCAGACAGTGGGGAGTCCAGGGAGCCTGGAAGACAAAAATGAAGCAGATGAAAGGAAGGAAAAGAGTACAGTGAGCAGTTAGGTGTGGGGGGAAACAAATCTCCCCCAGGAAGCAATAATGTTCCCAGCAGAGACTGACCTTGCAGAGAAAAACATTGCTCTGTTTGCTCCAGTTAGCCCAGTAGTGGGGTTTGAACCTGAAACTGGATATCTGCCCAGGAGGTAAATCTGCCTCCCTTCCATTGGTGCCCTAAACACGTGCTTATTTTACTAAATGGTCATTTCAGGATTGCCGGGAGAGATACTTCCAAGTTCTTGCCCCAAAAAGGGAACTTCAAGGCAGGGTGCTCCAAAAGTCTCTAGGAACAGTCCTACAAGAAAGCTGGAGCCCTCTAAAAGCTTTTGTCATGCTGAAAAACAATGGCCTTTCGTGCTATTGTTGCTGACCCGTGTCACAGCAGTGTCAGCTCTGGCCCTTTCTTGCTTTGTCTCTGCTCTCCCTTTCCTCTACCTCTTCACACCCAGATATGTCTTGATCCCAGGAATTTATCTGACATTCCCCTGCTTTGGTTGCCTTGGTTTAGTGGTTAAGACATCAAGCTAGAAACTGGGAGACCATGAGTTCCAGTCCTGCCTTAGGCACAAAGCCAGCTGGAGGACCTTTTTAGATGGATGCTGGTGTATGAAACAAGAAATTCTGCTTTCAGAATTCTAATGGTGAATTGATTCTGGCTCAAAAAGTAAATCAAAGGGGGGACCTTGGGCCAGTCCCTCTCTCTCAGCCATGGGCTATCTCACACAGTGGTGATCAGCCAGCCTGCCCCTATTGCCAGTCAGATCAAACAGCCACCTGAGGATTCCTGTTCTGACTCGGTGAGGCCCTGAGAAGCAGGGAAGCACTTCTGAAAAACCGTGTTAAGAAAACTGCAGGGACTTGGCCAGGCAGTCCCCAGGAGTCAACCCTAACGAAGGCGGAAGGAAGGAAGGAAGGAAGGAAGGAAGGAAGGAAGGAAGGAAGGAAGGAAGGAAGGAAGGAAGGTCCTAATATGCTTGGTGTGGATTTTGAGGGAGGGAAGCAAAAGGCTTTCCTGTTGAAAGTTCCTAGGAAAGGATGTTCCATCCACCCAACAGATATATGTCACAAAACCTAAAGTCTGGCTTTACAGTTCCATCATGGAATACTCAGAGTGGGAAAATAATGGAAGAACTACAAAGTGCACTAACAGTCTAGAGAGTTTTTTTTTCAGTTGTGGCCCTACCCAAGGTAGTAAACATTTAGTATCCAGTTGTTGCTGCACTGCAGTTCCCATCATTTCTCACCATCAGTCCCATGGACTCATGGGAATTAAAGTCCATCAACCCTAGAGGGCAATACATTGCCCACCCCAGGTTAGAGATGGGAAGAAAAGATTTAGCTGAAACAAAATTCTGGGGAAGCAGCTTCAAGTCTCAAAGTAAACTCCATCAAGACCCCTGTCCCCAGTATTTTGGATAAGTTAAAAGATGACTGAAAATTTAGATTTACAAGGCTAGTTTCAGAACTCAACAAAGTCTTCATGGTGAGAAAATGATCCCTAATTTTTTTTTCTGTTTCACTGATAGCATGGCCTGGGATCACTAAATATAATTGGCAGGGCTGCAAGGTGATGGTGGTGGGACTGACCAGGAGCATCCAGAGCTGTCTCTTCTTCATCAACCAGAACTGATTCACTCCATTTCTCATCTGCTACTTTCTCCAGACGTTCTTCAAGGTGGCGTATGTACACCAGCAACTCCTGAAGGCAGGGAATGGGCAACAGGTCAGCATTAAGCCCCTGAACTGTGGCACATTCCTCCTGCCACTCGATATCATCTTCTCATGCTAAATTCGGGCTATGGTCACAGACAGCATTTCTTCCCTCCATTTGGATGCCACACCAACCTGCTTTTCAGATTGCAGCTGCTCCTTCTCCTTCTGGGCAACCTGTAGGGCAGCTCGTAGCTCCCGTAGCTCCCGGCGGCTCTCAGAGACCTGAACCTGATGAGGGCAACAGTGACATTTGCCAAAGTAGAATATTAGAATAATGTGTATGGAGAGTTATGAAGCCCACTGTGGAACTAAATATTCAATGCTCATATCCAGTGGCGGAAATTTAAGAAAGCTCCTTTCATTTGTTGGAAAGCTTTTTCCATTTCCTAGGGCCTCTATTTCACCTACGGGGCAGAGCCATCACTGGCCATCTCCATTCACTAAAGGTCCCTTGGGCTGCTTCTTTTGCAGATTTGTTGTCACATCACACTCACCTCTGAGAGCAAGTGTGCACAATTTGTAGAGGGGAAAGGGCACATTGATGAATTAAAAATAATTATGGGTTTTAAAAAACAGCAGCAGGCCACACAGGGTTGCTTGGTGGGCCTTGTGCTGCCCCTGGACCATATGTTGTCCAGGCCTGTCTTAGAGTCTGTGCCAGGAAAGCATTATCCAGAATAAGAGAACTGGCATGCTGGATCCCTTGAAGCCTTCCCTAACTTGGTGCTCGCCTGATATGGTGAGACAACAGTTCTTTGACCTCCCAGCCAGCATGTTCAAGATGGAACTAGAGGAGTTGCAGCCCCAATAACACTAAAGAGCACAAAGGTTAGGAAGAACTATTTTGTAGATGCATCTAGCCAGACAACTGGGTTTCTGCCCTAACAGGACTGCAAGGGTCTGCATAAAAATTTCTCTATGAGGACTGAGGATGGTCAGTGACAACAGGATAGTGACCGGCAAACGGAACAGAGTGATGGGCTGCTGGTGTTGAGTCGATACTTCAAAAAGACACAGAAAGACCCATGTGCCCTGCAAGGGTGGGAGGGCACCGGAAAGAGGTCTCTTCAAAACTTTCTATGCTGGTGATCCTTGCAAGGCAAGGAAATCAGTTGACAAGGCTGTCTTGCAACCCATCTACAGAGCAGGCAAGGAAGTTAAACGTAATACCTTCCTGGAAGCTTGGCAATCTTAACCTGTAAACAGTTTCTACTTGTGAGAGGACTGAAATCATTGTCCAAAGTCACTATTTTCCCTCCTGCCTTGAGTGATGGAATACTCTTTCCAGGAGCCATAGTTTACCAGACTGGCATCCCGTTCCTGTGCCAGCTCCATACGCAACACCTGGCGCTGTGCCCGCTCTTCTTGCAAGCTGTTTTCAAGACGCAGAACCTCAGCACTCAGCTTCAGGATCTTATCCTTCTCTGCCTACCAAAATGATAAATTTGAAAGGAATAGTCAGTGCAGGATGAGATGGTTTTCCCTCACTCTGCTCCATGAAACTGGGCAAGGTCAGATTCTCCATGAAATATGCAGGGCTGGAGAACCCAAGGTCTTCAAATGTTAATAACTGTTGTTATTACAGTTTTTAAATTGTTTTTAATTGTTTTTAATGGATATATTATGTAAACTGTTTACTTTTGTTTTAACTGTGTATGTCGCCCAGAGTCACATGCAAGTGAGATGGGTGGCTATATAAATTCAATAAATAAATAAATAAAAATGAATAAATACCCACCCACTCCTCAGCAATGACCATGCTGACACTGCTGGTGGGAATTTTAGTTCAGTGACATCTACAACTCTAAAGGGCAGCTAGGTTAGGAAGGAGTCATCTATAGACTTGTTTATAGATTTAGCTAGCCAAGCAATTTTGTCCTTGCCCTAACAGAGTGCGGGAAGTGCAAAAAAAAAAAAAAAAACCCAGAGAGGACTGAACATAGTCAACAGCAATAGTTCTCCACAAGATCCCCACTCCTGACAAAATAAAAGGGAGCCCACAGAGCTAATTAGGGTGTTGAGAATTTGAATTTGTGCTCATACTGAAAACATTTAACAAATGTACAAAATTCAAACATGAAATGAGATTCCTACTAATAGTAAGTAAAATAAATTTGAAACCTTTCAAGTGCAAATCATCCCAACTGGAGTTTGGAACAGCTACTCAGACTTCACTGGATATGTTTCAAGACTGTTTTGACCTTACCTGAAGTGTTTGAAGTTCAAACTAGCCCCACTTTAAGCTCAGAACACTTATTTCAAGCCCAGAACAGCAATTCTACAAGGTTGTTTTAAGCTGAGAACACTTCCAGAATGGTTGGAAGAACACTGGGACAATCCTCGTAATGTCAAAATACCCACTTTCAAACTCAAATGTTCCAAATTCCTGCACATAAAATCTGAAATGATAAAATTCTGTGCCCTGCTTTTATCTCTTCCCTCTGAATAAGATTTAGCTTTAGTTACCTTATAGAAGATAATCTAGTGAGGCATAGTAGGAAAAGTTCATTCCATGCTTGAAACATTCCCTAGAAAGGGTATCTGGGGAAGCATTTGGGTGCTTTAAAATACAGAATAATTTACTTCCAAAGCCGTATTTTTCTTTTTCTTTTGAAACTCCAAACATTAAATCTTGGCATTCAACTGCTTGGGGAATTTGTTCTTTCTGCATGCAAAACTGATTTAAAAACTTCCCCAGAGTTTAATTTCAATCCAAAACAAAAGATCAATGATTGCACCAATGCATGTCAGGATCCCTTTGCTTTATTCCCTCCCCTCTACAAAGAGAATAGGCAATGTGTATGTGCATTGGGAAAGGGGGTAGTATGGTATAGTGCTGAAAATACTGGCCTAGGATGAAGGAGATCTGGTTTCAAAACTCCACTTGATTATACAGTAGATCTCATGGAACATAATTCTAGGCCATCAGCCTAACCTATCTCACAGGACTGTTGTGAAGATAAATGAGATGAGGCCCCCACATGCATGGCTTCAACCTCCCAGAAGAGAGATGGAACATAAATGATGAAAGAAAAGAAAAACGAAGTTTGCTCAACTAGCTTAGGGGATCACATGCACAAGTGTCCCACATACCTCCACGTTCTGCAACAGCATGGCTTTCTCCTTCCACCATTGGCCTTTGCCTTCTTTCCACTTGAGGGTCATGTCAGCAAGCTTGATGTTGACCTCGGCTGCCTCAAGGCGGCTCTTGTGGAGGTCAGAGATGGTGCGGTCTCGGATGGAGGCCACACTGGCTAGCTCTTCCCCTAAGAGTGCCACTTTCTGCTGGCTGGCAGCAAGGATGTCCTGTGTGGCACGTAGCTGTTCACACAAGGACTCCATCTGTGCCTGGGAGGAAGGAGGACTGAGGTGAAGAGGCCCAAGAGAAGGTGGGGAGGCCATGCCTTACCTTCATGGCATTATGAGAGTTTCAGGAAGAGAATAAGTGGTCTATAATACTAACCATTAGGATTCAGCATACTTTCTAATCCTGAAGTGGGGAACCTGTCCCAGCAAGTACAACCACTGGATAAGGATGATGGAGTGTCATCTAATATTTGATGCATTTCAGGTTTTCAAGCTCTGACCTAATTCTTCTTGTACCAAAAACGTTTCTGACTCTCCCAAAGAGAAAGAGATGTTGATCTAGCTTCTTTTCCTGGTTCCCACCGACCCACCAACCCACTCCTCTGCTCTGCAAGCCCTGACAGAGCAAGTGATTTTGCCTAGATCTGGGCTGGCTGATTTTTGTTAGTCGGTTTTTGTTCTCTAAACATGAAACCAGCTCTGTTTCTTGTAAGTGTGTTCCAAGACAATTTACAAAACAAAGTCTATGGCTTTAAGGGACTTCCTGCACAATTAAATTCCTTATTTCTCCTAAAGCGTTTTTAAAAACTAATTCATGAAGTGTCTAGTAGATTCATTTTGTACATGAATCTTCTTCCACAAAATATACATTTGGAGAAAAAGGGTTGGGCAATGTCACCCTAGAATTTTTGCCTATGACACGTGATCTGTGCTTTGCTTGTCCAACCTTGTATTTTATCAGAGTCGGAAATATCATTCTGAAATCCTGGATTCCCAGATCCCTTTTTGTTGCAAACTACAACCATAGTGTCACATTTCCTCTGATTACAGAAACAGCATAGACCATTGGTTTGGAGATATCCACTGAAGGGCTACCTAAGGCTCTATACTCAAGGAAATGAGACTGTTACTTGCATTTAGGATGGGCAAAAAGGGGGTCCTGGGTAAAGGCAGCAATTACTCAGTGCTGAAGATGGGTTGTCAGGATTGGCTGTCTGTCTGCCTTCTCCTATTTGAGAAGTTCTGGGAGAACACCGACATCACCCCATCAGAGACAGCATGCTGGACTTGATGAACCTTATTTTTCATATTCCTAGAAGATTCCAGTCTTCATGTACTTACAGTGCGTCGGTTAGCGGCTGCCAGCTTCTGCTGCAACTTCTGAATATCCTCCTGCAGCATGAGAGCCTGGGAGACTTTCTCACCGTGACGAGACTTGGCTTCTTGCAGATCAGAGGCCAGGTTACGGCTCTCCTCCTTGGAAGCCTGCAGCTTGACCTGGAGAGGAGGGAGGATGTGTTTGGCTAACCATGCCAGCTCTGGTTTCCTGTTTCCTTCTGTGTCCCTCTTTTCAAACCTGTTATTCCATGTTTACCTGGTACTGCTCTTTCTCAGCATTCTCCTCTTTGAGCTGATGATGGATGTGCTCCTGCTCCCTCAACAGAGACTTGACTGTATCTTTCACCCTGCAGCAGAAAGGGCCCAAAGTTAGGATAGAAAGAGTACACACGTGTGAGGAACATAGGCTGTGCCCTTTCTACCCAGGGGTACTTCTAGAAAAGGGCTTTGAGGAGCCCTTTAGTTCCATTTTTGCATCTTCTTTAACACAGAGTGAGCGTCCATTAGTCCAGCAGCCTGGTTCTAGGATGATGCTTTGGCCAAAGCCCATTGATTTCAAGGCATCACTAGGCTGCTAGATGGATCAACTTCTCTGTATGAAAACATTCCTCAACAGAATCTAATTCACTGGCAGTGGGCTGTTATAATCAATGTAAAAATCAATATTGATCCCTAAACTTTCTTCATTCTTGTACCTCCTTCATCTATATTTAATTCATGACCTGAGTGGTAGTTAACATCCTCTGATAACTGTTCTATTTTAGAACAACTTGCATCAATGACAAGAAGGAATCTCTGCAGGCTTAAAAAAGATTCAGGGCAATAGAAACTATGATACAATACATTAAATCCTGGATCAGTTCCTTGAGGTTGAGTTAGAATGGCACAGAGTATTGATTCCATGATGATTCTGGTTTTAGCATATGAGAAGACGTAACTGAGCGTATCCCAACCTGATGTCCTCCAGGTGTGTTGCTCCTATAAACCTCTCACAGTCTGAGTTTATAGGAGTTCTAATCTGAATGGGACTCTGATTGCCTATCCCTGGCATACAGGATAGTGCCTATCTCTCTCTCTCTATCTCTCTCTCCCCCACCCCTTCTTCCCTCCCTCCCTTTCAATTGCACTTGTGGTGCTCCCCAAGCATGGCCTTGACCTGTCTAATTCCGTCTCCCTCTGAAGCATCTTCTCCCCCATCGCCTGGATATCGCCCTCCAGTTCCTGGATTCGGGCCAAGTGCTCAGTTTCTTGAATGCTTAGAGTGTCTCTCTGCTTGGAGATTTCTGCATAAGAACTTGACAGTTCCTGGTTGGGTGTAGAGAGGAAGAAGAGTGAATGACGTCCGTAACACTTGAATGAAATCTGAAAATCCAGCACCTAATTTTGCTGACAAAATGAACATAACAACATATGAATAACCTTGCTGAATCAGGCTAAGGCCCATTTTGTATTTCTCACGATGGCCATCCAGACACCTCTGCATGCTGCAAAGCAGGAGATGGAAACATACTCCTTTCCTACTAATGTTTTTCTGAAACTGGTACATGGGAGCATGCTTTGCAGACATTTTAATAATCATTGCATGCATTTTTATAAACAAATGAGTTAATCTGATGCAAGCATTAAGGCACAGGGGCATCCCTCATTTTTATAAAAGGGACACCCAGATCTTGCTTTAGGTTTGGAGTCAGACGTTGTACAAAGTTTTGTGGCCACCTGAGCTTTTGCATAGTGAGATAATGGGACACGACCCCATTCCTGAAGCTCAGGAAGAGGTGGAACCTGGTGGACCTACTGTAGATCCCAGTTTTCTGCCTTGCCTTGTATTGTGCAGCCAGCTTGGTGTGCTCATCACGCAAAGTGCTGAGCACTGCCTCTAGCTCTGCCACGCGGCTTCTCAGTTCTTGAACCTCTTCCTTCAGGCGGCAGGACTCACGCAACAGGGCTGCTTGCTCCTGACGACTCTCTTCCAGCTGAGTCTGTGAGGCAGTGGAGAGAGATACTGAAGCACAAAGACACCGGTCAGGGGGCGCATTCATTCAGTAGGTTGAATTTTGCTGTCTTTGTGTTGCTATCCTAAGATTAAGAGCTGATTAAAAATTAAATCATGATATAATCCTTCCAGGCTGCAATATTTCAAATCTATTTGTATGCTCCATTGTTTTTTTCACAACAACCTGCACAAGGAAAGCTCAGCAGGCCAGGGAAAAGAGTTTATCCCAGCCTTCAGATACTGGAATAAAGTTTTCATAGGGCAAATCCAAATAAGAAATGTCCCACCTGCAGCTTAATGGTCCTGCTACAGTTCCAGAAGGATGAAAAGCTCTGTGGTCTTGCCTTGATGAAAGCAGAAGGTCAGCCTTTTAATACTTGTACCAGGAATGGATAATCCAGGGGCATCTTAAAACTCTTCCCCCATCTCATTCCTTTCTGTCTTAAGAGAATGGACTGAGCACCTACAGATGTTGTTGGATTACATTCTAGACCACTAGCCATGTTAGCTGGGGTTGATGGGAGATGGAATCCAAGGGCATTAAAAAGGCCAGCCTCTGACACCCGTGCTGAGGAAAACCTCAGGTCATAGGTAAAGGCTTGAATTCAGGCCATGATGTACCCCCATGTTTGAATGTGGGAAGTGAAGAAGTTGACTCAAAGGAAGCAACCACTACATTTCCCCACTAAGCATAATTACCAGGGAAAGTTAGGGCCTTTCCCTCAACTGTTGTTACTGTTTAACCTTTAATTACATCAGACTATACCAGCCTGTGTAATATAGAAATAATGAGCATTCCCTTTGTATTAGTGATGAGATGGAAACAGAATTAAAATCAGGAAACATGAGCTTGCTTAAGTTTATTTCTATCACTTCCCTTCTCTAAGGAGTGCTAAGAATGTCTACAATAACCTTACAAAATAGGTTGGGTTGAGAAACTGTAAACAGGCCTAAAATCTAGAGAGCTTTATAGCTGAGTGAAAATCTGAATTTAGGATTTCCTGAACTGAGTTGAATGCTATAGTCAGGCAGCAAGCAACAAGGCATGAAAAATTATAGTCAAGGAAGGGAATATCTCAAAGGGTCTGGGATCAAGGATGTTGGCTTAAAGTGAGACCCAAGGGGTTGCTTAGAATACCCTACCTCAAGTAAAGTGGCCTTGGGAACCACCAACAGCATGTCAGTTCCCCCTCCATCATCGCTGGCCTCCTCTAGAGTGACGAGCTCATCCATGGGACGGGGTTCGCTGAACTGGAAAGGGGAACTTTCACCACGCACCTCACCATGGCGATCCACATAACGGAACTGATATTGCTGGGGACCTGGTTTAGGTAAGTAGCTGGCTGTGAAAGGACAAATGTATTTGCTGTATTACCTTACTGACTTCTGAATATGAGGCTTTAGTTATTTAGTTATTAAATGTTTACACATTTCCAGTGACTCACAGATAAAAACATACAGAATAATAAAATCATATAATGATTACAATAAAACAAAAAAATTTTACATTAAAGCATACAAGGAAAAGCAGAGGTAGGAAATTAGGGTCTTAATTTTGGTTCATGTCCTCTCTTCTTAATTTCTGATGAACTGTTAAGATCTTTTTACTTTGCTGAGTTTTTAGTATACACTGCCATTTTATTTTGCTCCCAGTTTTACTGCATGGAATTGATTTGAGCACTCTGGACCATTTTATTGTATTCTGTGAACTTCTACTAAGCTGTTTTGAATGTATCTTACAAAGAAACACAGCATTTGCCATCATCTTAATATAGCACTCTCTTGGTGGTAAAAAAATGCCACAATGAAGATTCTGTGACATCAAAGAAGTTAAGCAAATGGCTGTATATTTACAACAGCTACAGATTGGTTAAAAATCAGATTTTCCATGTAGCACAGGATGGCGGTATAATCAGTATTAATGCTTGCATACATATTCTGTAAACAAAGGCCAGGACAGACAGATTGCTGAAACCAAGTTCAATAAGGCAGTTGTCCCACTTATCTTCTTTATCTTATGTCAGCATTCTGCCTTGGACAGGAAGTCATTCTTCAAGTGCTTCTCAAAACATTTAGCCGTGTATACTCTGATGAATCTGCTCTGGACTACTTGGAACATACCCACCTTGGAACTGGACACTGCAATGAAGGGTTCCTTCAGAAGCTCCGCCATCTGGCATTATACCCCACACAAAGGTATAATAGTCACGTACTGAAGAAGCATCCACCTGAGGCAAGGAATGGGAAGGGCATATTAGAAGATGTTGCATTTGTGTAACTCTCCCTGGAGGCCCCTTGCAAACCCAACACTATTGGATGCCACCACCTTTGAGTGTGAGGGGTATATTTAATGCTGCTCTTTACAGAAAATTCCTTATGAATTAAAAAAAAACAAAACAGCAGTCAGAACATTGAGAATGTAAGGTTCTAGCTGTGCTGTGCTGTCTTTCTACTTGCAGGGTATTTTGATTCTGTGCAGAAGAACATGTGTCTTCTTAATTGAGGGATGATGTATTCCCCTGGTAAATATGAATGACCCAGCTAGATGGTAGCACCAAGCCAGCCTTGGCTGGTTTTGGAAAGCTACACAGGTTTAGATTTTGCTTAGTACTTGGATGAGAGACCACCAGAAAATCTTATCTGTAGGCTTTTCCTACTTCCATGCTGTTGGTAAGAAAAATGACATGTCCATGTCCATGATGCTACAAGGAGTGGAGCTGGGTTTGAACAGCTCTTGACTTTAGCTTTTTACTGTATAGTTATTGAGTACTGTCAGAACTGCAAGTGGTAAAAATAACAGGTAACAAAAATGTGTGGTGTTCATATACAGTAGATTACAAATTCTCCAAAACTCCTGAGCACCTAAACACAATCATCCCACTTCTCCCCAATTGCAGTACCTTAAAGATCCCAATCCAGTCTCTGGTGGATGGCTTCATGCCAGGTGGCAGATTGTAGTGGCACTCCACCTTGGCATGGGGTACATAACTTGAGGCCACATTCAGGAAAACTACACTGGGGTGGGCCTGCGCCTCTTCCATCTCAGTAGCTCGGGCTGTGAAGCAAATGAAAGGGGTTGATAGAGCAAAGAAACAGCTGAGATGATCTCCTGGAGATTACAGCTCTGCTGGCACAGGATTTGGTGCTGAGTCAGCCAGATGGGCACCTGATCGGCAAACATCCTGTTGTCCAGGTGGATTGTTTTAGATTCTGGCCTTAGAAGGGGGAAAGGATGTCTCTTTTGCATGGGGATGCCTGTTACTTCAAGATGTCATAAGGCAACCCTGCTTTGGTTAGATAGTTAGTTCTGCTCTTTCTTTGAAGATGGAGACCCTAGGTTTCTGCCCCAGAGTCTTGCTCTACTGGCATCCCTGCAAACACATCTCAGGACATGGCCTGAGATGTGAACAAGGCTAGCTTTACATGCCAATTAAGTGTTGAGAAAGGCTGCAGCTCAATCCCCACCATCTTCAGTAGCAGAACTGAGAAAAGCCTTCCTTTTTGCTGAAGACCCTGGAGAGCCACTGCTAATTAGAGCGGAAGTACAGGATAAAGGAAAAAGGAATCTGAAGACAGG